CCCGACGTCGGGGCCACCCCCGGCGTTGGTTTCTGCAGGTATGGAGGCCGATTCGAGTTGAAGGAGCCCGGGTGAATCTTGTTCACTTCAGCAGCTTTTCACCTCGGTTCACCTCGGACCGGGGCCATTGTTGAATGTTTATTGCATATATTACGTTTACATTATTCAAATCAGTCATCTAAACCCACTTTTAATCGTTGAATCAAGATCCTATAACAACAGTTTGGCGCTAGAGGAAGGGCCCATAAGTTATTTGAGGTTAATCTTCGATTCTTGTTTTGTCACCCACATCAAATCGCTGCTACTATGTCTTTCAGATCATCGTGGTCACACATCGCGAGATGGCCACAGTCGTAGTGCTGCTCAATCCGCCAGACGACAAGCGGCGGTCCCTAACATACCAGATTACCCTGTTTAGTTCCAAAATCTGGAGTTCGCACGTGGGTTCGCCACTCTGATGGCTCAAACAATCCCTGGAACATCAACGACTGCACCAGGACATTCGATAATACCCATGACTCCTGCTAATCCACAAATTCCACCGGCGCGACAAGACGGTGGAAGAACAACCTCTCACGCCACGTCTCAACCTCACAGTCGAACGTCACAGCCGCACCCAGAACAAACCACACGTCACGCTGACGTTGTGCGTACTCTACTTGTGATTCCTCGTGAAGAAACCACCGAGAGTCAATCTGGACATTCATGGTATTCGCCACCTCATGCGCGACACCGAATCCCCTCCATCCCGGCGCAGACCGACCTTCGTCAACACATTGAAAGAAACCGAGCTCGCCAAGAATCCTCTGAACTTGAAACGTTGCGACGACGGATCGCTGAATTGGAGAGTCGACAAAGGATGCCCGAAGATCCTCCTCGACGGGCCTCGACCTCGGCGCAAGTATACCTGGAAGCCGACTCCCCTCTCATGCCTGAGCTCACGTCAGAACCTGTACCCGGAAAAGTCAAAGTTCCACAAATCGGATTGTACGATGGGACGTCGGATCCTGACTCACACCTCGGTCATTACACATCATGGATGGACCTCCATGGGGCCTCAGACGCACTTCGGTGTCGTATGTTTCCTCTTACTCTGGGACCTCGAGCTCAGAAATGGTACCACTCTTTGCCCCCTCATTCTATTTGGAAGTGGCAACAGTTGAGGTCGACTTTCCGATCTCACTTCATCGGTGCCCAAGTTTGTTTGATTCCAAAAGAATCCCTTACAAATGTGACTCAAAAAGACGATGAAAGCGTCAAGGACTATATTGCTCGATTTAATGACCGAGTTCAAAGCATGGAGCCATGTCATCCCGAAACCCTGCTTGTTATGGCTATCGTCGGGCTGAAACCTAACTCGATTTTCCGCTGGACATTGTGCCAGAATAAACCGAACACCTTCCAGAAATTCATTGCCCGAGCTCAACAACATATCATTGCCAAGGAAGCCATGTCGGTCCCCAATTTTAATTTCAATCCGAAGTCATCGACGTCGGAAACCGACGAGAAAAAGAAAAACAAATCCTTCGATAAACAAAACAAGGCTCAATTTAGAGGATACCCCCGAGGAGACGCCAACGACCCTGAAATTAGAGCAGCTCGGAAACAGTATGCTACGGACGTAAAATCCAGTTATCAAACCGTGTATTCAGCTGGGGCTGCCACCATATATGAAGAGATCAAAGGGAAAGACATCCTGCCCGATCCAAAACCACTTCGGATGCCCGAGGAAAAATTGGACAAATCTCGATATTGCGACTATCACAAATCGCCGGGGCACAACACTGATGAATGTTTGAGTTTGGTAGCTGCCTTGTTGTGTTTAATTGGTCATCCACAACTCAGGAAGTTGTATCGCAACACTGATCCCCAGAAGCGGGGGTCGGGCCGTCAAATTGAACCTTATGATGAGGATGAAGATGAGGACCGAGGTGCTATGCCGAAACGCATTCGGCAAGGGGATAAAGAAGTGTTCATGTTCACCTCGGAAACGCTCAATACTGAAATAACTGAAAACTCCCGAGGACTTAAACGAAACCGATCTCCCAGCCCGATGCAAATCACTCTCCATCGAGTAAATACCAACAATACCCAGAGTACATTATCCCGTCGACAAGTCAAAGCCTACGCCCGACAAGCTTATAATTCGGGCAAGCATGTTTTCACCACTGATCTGCGAGATGTTCTCGATGCCCGAAACTGCCCCATTACTTTCAACATGGAAGATGCGAATCATTTTGCACATCCTCATTCCGACGCACTTGTGATCACCGTTCCAATATGTGGGATCCCAGTTCACCGTGTCATGGTTGATATTGGGGCCTACTCAAGTATTTTAATGCTAAAAGCTTTTGACAAAATGGGTCTTGACCCAGCGGATATTCGCCCTTGCAACGATCAAATACAGGGATTTAACGGAAGCATTTCGAAGCCCATCGGTGAAATCACCTTGCCTGTCAGATTTGGCACTTCTGAACACGTAACCAAACTTGTTATGGAAACCTTTAAATTTCTTGACATCAACAACGAGTATAACGCAATCATCGGAAGGACTGCTTTATACAAACTCCGAGCCGTTGTTTCCATTTTTCATTACGCACTCAAATTCCCGACGACACGAGGTGAATGAACACATTACGGAGATCAAAGAGAAGCTCGAGAGCTTATCACTTTCATACCATCCGCCGGAGTCCATTCCGCCACTTTAGACAACGAAGAAAATCCCTCACCACCAGTCACCTCGGACAACACAATTTCCGAGGGACCGAATCACGAAGTCGTTATTCCCGCCACCTTGGATCCATTATTTGAAGACCGAGGTAGACGACCCGGAAAAGAACCAATCCCAGAAGAAGACGAATTGGACCCAAGGACTCAGTTCAAAGAGAAAAGTCGAAGTGACCGAGCTGAACCCGGAGAAGAAGTGGAATTAATATATATTGACGAACCAACATACCAAAAATCACTACGCATTGGGAGTCATCTTCAAGAACCTCTCCGGTCGGAACTCATCTCGTTTCTCATAAGTAATTCTGATGTTTTTGCTTGGAAACATGAAGACATGAAAGGCATCGACCCCGGCATCGCTAGCTACAAGTTGAATCTCGATCGAACTGTCCGGCCAATTGTTCAAAAGCGAAGAAAATTGGGACCGGATCGTCAGAAAGCATTGGAGGAGAAAGTCAAGAAACTCATCGACAACAAGTTCATTAAGGAAGCCAAGTATCCGACATAGGTCTCGAACCCAGTCCTTGTCAAGAAAAGCAATGGCCTCTGGAGGTTATGTATTGACTTCTCCGATCTGAATAAAGCATGCCCAAAGGATAGCTATCCGCTTCCTCACATAGATTATATGGTCGATGCCACCTCGGGACACGAGCTGATGATCTTTATAGATGCTTATTTCGGTCACAATCAAATCCCTATGGACCCCGAGGACTCAGAGCACACCTCATTTTATTCTGCCTGAGGCTTATATTGTTATACCATGATGCCTTTTGGGTTAAAAAACGCTGGGGCCACGTATCAACGTCTTGTTAACAAGATGTTTGCCAATTTAATAGACCATACCATGGAAGTCTACGTAGACGACATGCTTGTCAAGTCGGTGCATGCCCCTGACCATGTTACACACCTTCAGAAAATGTTCGATATTCTCTGATCTTATTCCATGGTCTTAAATCCAAAAAAATGCACATTCGGAGTCGAGTTCGGAAAGTTTCTAAGCTACATGGTCAGCCAACAAGGAATCGAAGCCAATCCGGCCAAGATAAAAGCCGTACAAGATTTAACTCCCCCGACCTCGGTCAAGGGTGTTCAGGCCCTAACTGGCCGACTTGCCGCGCTTAATCGGTTCATATCCAAGTCAACAGATCGTTGCAAACCCTTTTTCGAAGCAATTAAAAAAGGAAGACGTTTTGAGTGGACCGAAGAATGTCAGAAAGCTCTCACCAACATCAAGGAGACCATTGCTTCTCCTCCAACGTTACAGAAGCAAAAACCCGAGAAAATGTTGTTCTTGTACCTCGGAGTCAGTGATACCGCAATCAGCGCTGTCTTGATATGTGAAGATGGGACGTTACAGTCACCTATTTATTATGTCAGCAAGGCCCTACATGATGCCGAACTACGCTATCCCCCTATGGAAAAATTAGCGTTTGCACTTGTCATTGCTGCTCGGAAGTTGCGACCTTATTTTCAAAAAATTCCATTATTGTCTGCACTTTGTATCCGCTATGACAGGTCTTGCATCGACATGACGCCTCGGGGCGAATGATAAAATGGGTCGTCGAACTCGGACAATTCGACATCCACTACCAACCGAGAACAGCCATCAAAGCACAAGTCCTGTCCGATTTTATTGTCGAATTCACACTGGCGATAGGAGTAATTAATTGTTGGGGTATACAGTAAAGCAAACTTTTATGTGAGCTTTTGGATTGTATTTATTCGATTTCCCATTTGACTGAAATAAATGTTTTCACATTGTTGCATTCTTTATGATTGCTTGTATGCTAAATGTCCAATTATCTTATATTGTAGAAAATGTGGTGTGTTAGTAGTCACACAAAAGATTACATTGTCGGTCCCTTATAAGATATAAATGGTATTCACAACTGAGATAGTTATGGACATGACTATCGGTTTAGGTTGTAGTATAAACTGGATATAGCTTGTCTTGGCTATTGGTTTATACTAGTGCGCTGCGTCGCATTGAATGGATCACAGTTGAGACGTGTTCTTCAGTTCTGACTATCATGAAGAACCTAGGTCTCGGTGACTCTACTAATTCTTAACCCTAATTGTGATACTTAGATATGTGAGATATTTGTTTGTTACTTTGATTTACCATGGGTGAGAGCCAAGTATTGGTTCAATATGCTCTGTATCTTGGGTAACAACATTATCTGCATGATATATATTTATTGGCATTAGGGCAGGCGTGTCCTGGACATCCAGGTTGATGACGTCCCGTTAAGGAACTCATAAGGATTATCGTATAAACCCTGCAGGTGGATTTATTCCGTACGATAATAACGTTGAGTGGTACTACTTAAGGAATAAAAGATATTAAATAATTAAAGCAGTCAGAAGCTTTAATAATTAATGGACGTGCGATATCTTAAACACGGGGAATTATATCGAGTCTAATAGAAGCCCTGATTCATTTTGGGATAGGACGGGAGTGCAATATTAATTCTCTAGTGGAATGAATTAATATTTACGGGCCAAATTGTGTTCTGGGCTGAACATAAGAATTTGGGCCTGTGGGGAGCCCAAACCTTATACCTTCTAAGAGATCCCTAGTCTGGCCCAAGGACTCTATAAAAGGAGGGATTACCACACGTTCTTAAACCCTAACGCAGCATCACAAAACGTGATATCTTCAGCCACCATCGTGAGGAGAAAGTTACGCAAAGGGTTTCAGAGAAGAACAAAGGAAATCCGCTCCTTTCAACAGTTTGGAGGATCGTCGTCCATCCGGTGTCCAAATGTGGTCAAGACACAGACTAGAAGATCGCTCAGATCGAATCGAAGCCTTGAAGAAAGGTATATCTCTGTTCGTCCTTTAGGAGCATGCTTAGGTTTATTCAAAATCAGGTATGTACAAGTTTGGTATCCGATATCGATCCGTGGGTAGGACCGCCTCGTCGGCGTGTTCCAACAATTGGTATCAGAGCCTCGGTTTCGTAGATTGTCGGCTCTGCCTGGAACATGTAGTTGATTTCGTTTATTCGTTTATTCGTTTTCAGTCATGTTCATGGTATGGATGAATGTTTATCTTTTTTATGCTTCTGGATGGTGTCTATCGCAGCCCTTGTTGTTTGTTGTAATCGTTTTTCCCACCAGATAATAAGTGTAGGTAGTTGGTAACACAAAACTCCTCGACCGGCTGGAACTTGAGCAATCGCCTTCCTTCTCGCCGGTTGAACGTCGTGTACCTACAAAGAACTCTCACACCGGAGGGGTTTTCCGGTGAAGAGCCTCCGATGCTTAAGTCAGTGTATATTCAATCAATTCTCAAGAGTAGTGGAATGATCGTGTTGAAGAAGAAAGGCTCACCCCCTTTATATAGGGGTGAGATACCTGACCTAGGGCTGCCCGGATTTGGTGAGCTGTCTGCCCTAGCTGCCCGTCCGTACACACCAAACGCGTGTGTCAGAGGCGGCCGTCGCCACTATCGCCTGCACCAATCCTCTTTGGCCGCGTGTCCACCTGCACATGGGATAGGCTGTCAGAGGTGGTTATCGCTATCCACCACTGCTTTCTCGACACGTGTCCTCCTGCACATGGGGTAAATATTCTCCTGGGATTCTGTCAGAGGCTTCCTTCACGCGCCTATGACTAGGCCGAACAGCGTGATGTTAAGTCCCCGAAGTAATCGGCCTGCTTAGGTCGAATAAATTGCTCGATCGCGTATCTGGTCGAAGGATAGTGTGGTCGACAGCCCTGCTTGGTCGACTAGTTAACTGCTCGATTTCCTTGGCTTCCTCATAATATGACCTCCTCGACCGGTCAATCAGACCGGTTCCGCCTTGTGGGTATAATATCCCATATCATCTAGTCCCCCCCACTCTGGTCGAATCTGAATGGTTCGATCTAAGAGTAGATTAGCGTTTATCGTCCTTCTGGGTGGTTCGTCTCTAGATATCGACCAGCTGGTGAGCTTCCCGCTCATTTTTTTCGAATAATTCTCCATTAATTCCTAGCAATAAAGTCATCCACTTTAAGTCCTTTCTGTCGCATCCGTTTTCTGCCACGCGTCCCGACTGTCGAACATGTCAGATGCTTTAATTATTGCGCCTCCTCGCCTAACGCGTCCGTTTTGAGCTCCGTGTCAATTAATATTCCCATCGTTGGATCTGCCTTTAATCTGACGGCTCTTATTTTTCCACCCTTCAATTCCCAGAGTATAAATTCCATACTTAGCGTATTTTTCAACTTTTTTCACCTTCTCAGCTTTCGAATTATTCTGTGCCTAGAATTCTCTTCTGCAAAAACTCCTGCTTTCTCGACGGTTTCTCCTGCGCTTTTTCGAACTTCCATCCGTCATCATCTTTTGGTTATGAGTAAGTCTCTTCGTACTTGACTTTGTTTTCCTTATTGCTCTGTTCTGTATATTCTTTGGATTTTCGATATTGGGTTTTCTTGATCTGCCCGTTGAATTGTCTCAAATTGGTTTGTCTTGTGTTGGATTTATGCTTGGAATGCCCTTGTTTGTTTATTGAATGTTGGGAATTTTGTTTCTCCATCGAAAATTGTTGAAATTTCCGACTCTTTATCCCCGAATTCATTCTTTCAAAACCCTAATCCTTCTTCTCTCTTCTTTTCGACGGCCCCCTTTTGATATTATTCTCTTTTGTCTTTGTTTTGATTTTCTTTTCAGACTCTGAGACCTCTTCTGACTCAGTTGAAATACTACCTTCTGCTCTTGAGGCCGTTCCTCTATCAATCCTTCGCCCCGGTGATACTGTCCCCATCCGCGTCTTCCCCGCTCAAGTTGCTTCCTCCAACTCCGGTGACACCATGGACAATATTCCCCTCCGACGCCGCCGACCTGCTATTGGTGAATTAGATGAGCCTGAGAGGGACGAGGTTGCCTCTTCCTCCTTGACCGTCCCTCCTTCTTCCTCCCAACCTAGCGCTTCTGCCTCCCCACCCAAGAAAAAATCGACCAAAGCCACCTCTAAAACCTCTTCCAAACATCCCTCTTCTTTTACCCTTTCCAGTGACTGGGTTAGTCCTTCCAGGATCGGTCGACCTGTTGGTTGGGTCTTCTACCTCCCCTCAGGGTCCGACAAATATGACCAGCCCCCAGAGAATTGCTACACCTTCTTCGAAATCCAATTTAAGATGGGCTTGCGTTTTCCCTTGAACCCCGAGTTACTTCAAATTTGCGAGTGGTTTGGGCTCCCCTTGCATCAACTTCCTCCAAATGCCATCCGTTTTATGACCATTTTTATAATCCTCTGTCATATTCGCCTCGGTCGATTCGACCTCGCCTTTTTTCATTACTGTTACACTCCTTCCAAACAAGCCCGAGGGCTCTACCTAAAGAGCCGCAACGGCGCTCACTTCATCAATGACATCCCCTCCAACCTGCCTAAATGGATCGATAGGTTCATTTTCGTTCGACCTGAGGCACCATTACCTTGGCCTTCCATCCCCTGGGTGAGGGAGGTTCCTCAGGAAGTTTCTGCTCCCCCCTCCAATCCCCTTTTCGAGCAACGGGTCCATACTTGGAATTCCAAGACCGTTGCATCTGAACAACTTCTCAGGGACGAGAATCTTCTCCATTTTTGTGGTCTTATCACTCACAAGACCCTCTCCCCCCCCACCGAGGAGATTCTCGATCTTGTCCGCATTGAAGGTGACCCAGGTAGTTCCCGATCGGTTTGCTTTGAACATTGTCGTGCATTTGTTATTCTTCCTTGTAAGTAGGTTCTAAAGTTGGTTCTTTATTCTTTTTGATGCGTTTGTGCAGAGGCCCCCAGTTTCAACATTCCTTTGAGGAGAGTGCCTCTGAAAAAGAAGTCAGGGGCTGCCGCTGGCTCGACCAGCGATAATGTCAATGACTCGACCAGCTCCGGCGGACCTCGGCCAGAGCCGCAACAGCCATCATCCTCACAACAAACTCCACCGCCTCCTCCCCGATCACCTTCACTGCAAACTCCTCCTCCTCCGCCGCCGCCCAAGGGTGCCCCACAGCAGCAGCAACAGAAACAACAACAACAACAACAACAACAGCAACAGCAACAGAAACAACCTCAACAACAGCAGCAACAGCACCCGCACAAATCCGCTTCTCAATCGACCACTCAGTCCTCGACCTCTTCCAAGGTCGACGATCGTCAGAAGACTGCTGACCGTCAACAGAGATCTGGCGACCATCCGAAGTCCACTGACCGTCACCACCGGGTCGACGATCGTCCCGTAAGAACCGACGACCGTCAGAAGGTCGACAACCGTCATAAAATCGACCACCAGGCTCCCCCTCCTAAGGACTCCAATTCTTCCAAGACCCTGGTTCCAGGAAAACCCCCTCTCGACCAGCAATCCCTTAGGACCCAGTCCACCGGCTCGACCAAGACGCTGGTTGAGACTGGCGATAAAGCTGATACCGTGCTGGGGAAGCGGCCCCGCACCGAACAAGGTGCGGTCGTCTGGAAGCGGGGTCGTGACAGTCATCTTTCTCTCGACCCCCTCGCTCCGAAACCAACGTCTTTGCTGTTGGCGTCTCCCAACGAAGTGGCCGAGCGCCTCGAGGGTGTTCTCCTCGAGGACGACCGAAAAAAGCTCGGCCCCACGGTGCCCGAGTTTGGAGATCAGTTCGTCCAGTGGATCGCCCAGGTATTGTTTCTCTTG